GGGGGGGGGCCCGGCCCCGGCCCCCCCCCGCCCGCCCCCCCCCCCCCCCCCCCCCCCCCCCCCCCGGGAGGGTTTGGACCAGGCTCGGGGTTTTACAGATGATTTTCTGCCCAGCGGAGCCGTGGTCCCCTCGCGGCACCGAGGCCTTGGCTCACGGCAGGGAGACCCTCCGGAGGGATGGGGTTGCCGGGGGGAGCGATACCCTCAGAAAACAGCAAAGCTTCCTTTTTACTGGGTCTTTTTGTTCAAAAGTAGATATTCCTGGGGGTGCAAGAGCTGTGCCTGGAAGGGTTTTGAAAAACTAGCAGTTTTGGCCACCTCAAGCTTTCTTCATCATGGCTTTTTGTTTTTTTGTTTTTTTTTATTTTTAAGACAAGAGCATTTATGGAGTGATGCTCCCATGGAGGCCTCAATGTTTCTAAACAACGGCCTGGAAAAATCTAGTGTCCGCAGCCCTGAAAGCAGAAGTTTTAAAAATAAATTCCTCCCCAGCCTCTGGCAGATTAATCGGGCAGGGGCATAATCCGGGCAGCAAATTGCCGAAAATCCTTGGAGTGAACCGGCAGAGATTTCGAGAGGCAAATTTCTCATTTTCTTGGGCTAAAAATAGATGCAAGAAAAATGGCTTTTAAAATGGAAGAAAAGGTGGTGGGTGACTTTGCTCTCGGCGTCCTCCCGGTGAAAGGACGGTGAGTGCCTGGCCCAAAAGCGTGATTGATAGCCGGGCTTTTTCCTGAAGAGCTCCATTAGCTTGCACAAATGCTTTTCCTTTTTTTTTTTTTTTTATTTTTGAGACTAAAAGGCTGAAAACTGCCCCATTTTGGACGCCTTGCAGGGTGTAGCGTTACCTCGCGCCACCTCCTTTGGCTTTAGTTCACGCAAAAGGCGGCTTGCAAGATTGCAAGAGCAAGAAAGCAAAAAACCCGCCAGCCGCCAGCGCTTAGAAATGAAAACGCGGTCGTCTGCCAGAAGGAGGAAGGGAAAAAAACCAACGGCAATAATAAATGTTTTCACCTCCTGCACTCCAGCCCTTCCCGGGGTCAGGAGGACCGTGCGCTACAGAGGGCAGTAACGACCTTGCAGGAGTAAGTCCATGAAGAAATCTGCGTTTAATTAACAAAAATATTTAACTTCTCTCTCAAGATAAATTAATCGTTAATCATCCGGTTCGGGGAGCCGAGTTACGCCGCTAACCCCCGCCAGTTAAGACTCGTGTTGAGTTGTTCCCTCGCTTGCGTTCCCGGCCAGAAGGTGCAGAGGTGAAACCCCGCCGGCGTGCCAGGGCTTGGTCCGTTGAGGTTTTATTTGTTGGGAGCCGGGGGGTGCGCCCCTGCGTTTGTTAGGCAAGCAGCAAGTTGTCCAGCATCTCTTTGATTTTTGGTTTGCTTTACGTTCCCTAAATGACGCAGTAGTTTGTCGCGTACTAGAGTTTGCTTTTTGCAGGTGTTTTTTGCCGAGTGTCTCGTGAGACTCTTACAAGCCAGCTGCTCCTGCCCAAAACGGAGGGACCCAAGTCAAAGAGCAGACGGGGGCTTGCTCCGGGCTCCAAACTCTTTAGGAATGTGCCAGAACCCTAAGCTGCCGTTTCAGGAGTGGGTTTCCCCTCTGCTTTTCTGTCCCCGCTTTATGCAGTGGAAGAACTCTGCCTCCCCTTTCTAGCAAGGGCTTGGTTATTCGGTGCCTGCCGGCTCCGCCTGCTCCCTGTTGGCAGTGGGGCTTGGGGGGGATCCCGTTGGGCGCTAACCGAACTTCTCCCCACCTCCACTGTGCGTAGGTAACGAGCTGGCACCCCCTGGGAGAGGGTCTGGCAAGGGCGGGGGGGCTGCCGGTCCCCCAAATGCAGCTTTCCCCTCTGTGAGCAGCGTGATGCTCACCCTGCATTTTAAAATTAGGGGCCACGTCGCCCGAGCACACGGGGCTGCAACACCCCAAGCCCTGTTTCAGCTCTCGGCCCCCGTTCCGGGGGCAGCGTTTCGTTCCAGCACGGTGTCAGGGGCTCTCTCGCTGCGTTTCAGGGGCAACACCAGGGTGGAGGAAGCCTGTGAAATGTACACCAGGGCTGCCAACATGTTCAAGATCGCCAAAAACTGGAGCGGTGAGTACAGCCCCCGCCGTTGGGGGGGCTGCGTAGAGGGTGGCTGACGCCGGGGTGACCCGCGAGTGCCCGAGCATCTTCCTGCGAATTATCGCAGCGGAGTTTTACATCCCAGGCTGTTGCCATGGGGACGGTCCCTATGGCGATGCAGTTCCTCTGCTCTGCCCCGCCCTGCGATGATTTCAGTACTGGGAGGGTGGGCAAAGGGGGGGTGACCTGAAGGTTCCTGATGTTCAGTTAGCCGGGGCGCAGTCTGTCGTTTTTTTTAAAATGAAAGCTCGTAATTCTGCCGGGAAGCCTGCTAAAGGGGCGCTGCCCTGGCTTTGCCCTCCTGCAAGGAAATCCCTTGGGGTGGGGCGTCAAGTCCGACGGGTTCCGAGATCCAGGGGATCCCCCTTGCTGATCCAGTAGATGCAGGGCGCAGCCAGTAGCGAGGATGAACGCGCGCTGCCAGGGATGAGCGTGAGTCCGACGGGTTCCGAGATCCAGGGGATCCCCCTTGCTGATCCAGTAGATGCAGGGCGCAGCCAGTAGCGAGGATGAACGCGCGCTGCCAGGGATGAGCGTGCGGGTGGGATGCCCCCACTGCGCCCCAGGGGGACGGCTCAACACGCGGGGCCCCCCCCCCCCCCCCCCCCCCGCCGGACGAGCAGTGCCTGGCCACACACGCTTGGGGGTTGTCGCATCTCTAAACCTCTCCGGTTCCTGGGAAGCGACGCGTGCTTCGCCGTTTTGCGGCGATCCCGCTCGTTGCCGGGCTGGAGGGGTACACGGGGTCGGTGTGCGCTTCTCTCCCAGCCGCAGGAAACGCGTTCTGTCAGGCGGCCAAGCTGCACATGCAGCTGCAGAGCAAACACGACTCGGCCACCAGCTTCGTGGACGCCGGGAACGCCTACAAAAAAGCAGACCCGCAAGGTAAGGGGGGGGCGAAAGCCGGGATTGTTTCTTGCAAAGCTGCTTAGCGGCAGAGGAGGTGGCGTGCCGAGGCTTTCGGTAGTCACCGGCTCCGTGGGGCTGCGGATCCTCGCTGCAGGCTACTCGAAAGACGTAATACCTCCTGCCCTTAGCCCCAGGCCCCTCCCAGGGGCTTCCCCGGGGCAGAGGCGAGGCGGGAGGAGAACGGACTGACCTTTGATGGGATGAGGATAAAGGATCTGGGTTCTTTAGATCTGGCCGCAAAGAGCAGGGCTGTGGTTGTCTGGAAGACCTCCGATTCCCCTTACCCTAGCTGAGTGTTTGGAAACAAACCAGCCGACCCACCAGTATTACTGATGCTTTCCTGTGCCAGCGGGCTGAAGAAACTAACTCGGGGCCGATTATACTGTTTTATAATTGTAAAACACCCAGATTTCCTAGGAAATGGCAGGCTCTGCATGTTTATGAGATCGGCGTTTTGAATTTTGCTCTGTTTGAGGATGCAGCCTTACAAACCCGGGGTACAAGTCGTTTGTAATTTGCCCGTCCTAATTTTGGACTGTTACCTTTCAGCGTCGGAGTTCTTGCCCGGGCGAGCCGGCAGGCTGTTGGTGGGGTGCGGGCTGTGCGGGGTGGGTGAATCAGGATTAGATCCGCGGATGCAAAAATGCAGGGGGGTGTTACACCCGTAGGTCTTAGGGGTTGAAAACGCTGTGTCGGTTGTTTCGGAAGTATAAAAGTGTGCCAGACGTACATACACTTGTGAGTAGATATTTACTGAAGAAGCTGGCTTGTGGTCTGAGGAAGAGAAATGTTACCGAGATCTGGTTTTTGGAGGCGCGGGGTGGGGGGGGCAGGTCTTGGGCTGGGCAGTCTGACGTGCTGGCTGACTGTTGTTTTTCCTGAACACTCATGCTGCAGAGGCCATCAACTGCTTAAATGCAGCTATCGATATCTACACCGACATGGTAAGAAGCTGCACTGGCAGCTCGTGGACCGATGTGCTTGTAAGAGACGCAGCTCGGTAAATGCTGTGTGCGCTGGGCCGGGGGGGGGGGGAGCCCCCGTCTCACGTGCAACCTCTGCCTTCTCTAGGGGCGATTCACTATCGCTGCCAAGCACCACATCACCATTGCGGAGATCTACGAGGCCGAGCTGGTAGACATTGAAAAGGTAAGGACGCCGGGCGCTGCTGGTACTGCTCTGCAGGTGCTGCGGCGGCGGCTGCATTTCCTTCCCCCGCCCGAACCGCGCCGAGGTCCGCGGCGCCGCAAAAAA